CAGGAGGAGGAGCGAGGAGGAGGAGCAGGAGGAAGAGGAGGAGGAAGGAGGAACAGGAGGAGGGGTGGTGGTGATAATGACAATAATAATAATGATAATTATAATAGCAATAATAATTAACATTAGCAGCAGTAGTTGTAATAGTTTGTTAGTTATTTATGTTTACGTATAGTTATGTTTATGATTAGTATTATTTATGTTTAGGTACTATGTCTGAGCAGCGGCAGCGGCAGCGGTGTGACTTGCCGTGGTGAGGCGCGGGCAGGCACGCATGCATTGGCGCATTCTCCCCCTCCCCCCGCTCCCGCTCCATCAATAAGTTACATGCATCTGAACTCGGCGACATAACCGCGCGTCTGCGCGCGCGCGCGTATACATTTGCTGGAAACGGTTTTTCCAATTAAAGATTTATCGCACTGCGCGTTTTACTTCCACGCCGCGAGCTGGCAGGTTGGCTGGCGGGCAGGCTGGCGGGCGGGCTGGCAGGCTGGCAGGCGGGCGGAGGCGCGAGCGGGCAGGCGGGCAGGCAGGTTGGCAGGCGGGCAGGCGGGCTGGCAGACTAGCAGGCAGGCAGGCAGGCTGGCAGGCGGCGGTAGGCAGGCAGGCAGGCAGGCAGGCAGGCAGGCAGGCAGGCGGNTCCCTCCTCCCCCCTCAAAAGAGAAACACGCCGCAGGAACGGAGGAAAAAGATACGGCGGTTTCAGCGAAGCAACGACGGACGACGGACGCGTTCATTAGTCTCTTCATCGCATCGCTCAATTATTTATCACGGTGAGGCTGCGACGGACGCGCCGCTGCCACGACGGTTTACGCCCCTAAGTGCCGAGTGAACCCGTACACCACTTTTCGGACTAAAAGCGCGGATAAAACGCGATTTCCTCTATCGGCGGCGGCGAAAGAAGCAGATCGGAGAATCTCGCTCGCGTGTGGGAGAGAGAGAGGGGGGGAGAGGTGTATATTTATAATATATATATATATATATACATACATATATATATATACATATATATATAGGAGGGAGAGGACGAGAAGAGGACGAGGAGATCGAGCAGAGAGCACGAGAGAGAGCGACAGAGAACAGATGCGAGACGATGAGAGCAGAGAGAGATGCGAGAGACGAGACGAGAGAGAGAATCGAGAGAGAAGAGAGAGAAGAGGAGCGCATCCGGAGCCGAGAGCGAGAGAAGGCACGCACCTACACACGACACACACGCGCCACCACGCAACACGACACACACGCACACACGCACACACGCACACAGCCACCACACACACACACACACACACACACACACACACACCACACACACACACAACACACAAGCACACACACACACACACACACACTACCAGTGGCCAGTAGCTACGGATTTTTTCAGGCGGGGGAGCACTGGGGCGGGCCTTACATTTCCGTGGCGGGGGAGGGGCAAAATATATAACTTTTCTTTGTATTATACTGTTCAAACGGCATCTGTTTTAATTCAATTTTTTTTATCAAAGCAGTGGAATGTTTTTCAGTGGGGGGCACCTGGGAGGGGGGCGGCGCACAGAAAATTTGCTCGCGGGCGGCGGAGCACGTGCCCCCCCCAGTCGGCCCCCCGTAGCTACGCCCCTTGACAACACACACACACCCACACACACACACACGAGCAGAGCAGGACGAGAGAGAGAGAGAGAGAGATAGAAGCCCCCCGTTCAGTTGGCGGACGCTGCTTCTGGAGCATGCGGAGGCATTGCAATCACTCTCGCGCGGTCGCTGCGATAAATCATAGATTCTATTGCCCTCTAACACTTCCTCATTCCCATGCCGCACGCGACAAGTCGTCAACTCGTGTCGACCGTCTGAGTACGTGCCTTGCTGCGCGCGTAATACATGCAAAGCGTTCTAAGCACTCCGCGCGCTGTGTGTGTGTGTGTGTGTGGTGTGTGCCACCCCAGTGTGTGTGTCGTGTGTGTGCTGTGTGTGTGCGTGGTGCGTCGCAGTGCCTCTGCTGTGTGTGTGTGGCCCCTTGTGTGTGTGTGTCTGTGAATAGTGTGGCCCCACATTGCCCTGTTGGGTGTGTATGTGGGTGTGTCGCTGCCGTCATGGTGTGTGTGGTGTCTCTATGTTGAGTGTCTGGTGTGTCGTCGTGTGTGTGGCCGGTGCGTGTGTGTGTGTGAATGTGTCCTCCACTTCCATCTCCGCGGGCGGTGGTGTGCTGCGTGCCAGTGCGTGTGTGTGCTGTGTGGTGTGTGTGTGTGTGTGTGTGTGCGTGCGTGGTATGGGGGTGTGTGGCAGTGCGCGCACGGAACTCTCTGCGCTCGCTCTCGCGTGCTCGCCTGCGCCCCCCGCCCACCGACTGCACCCTGCGCGCAAGCCACCTGTGATGTGTGTGCATCCACGGCGCACCCTGTGTGTTGTGTGCCCGTTGGTCGGCGCTGCGTCGTGCCATGCCGCTGCATACCCCCACCACTGTGTATGCGCGCGTCGCACACGTGTACACAGGCCCGCGTGTGTTACGTATGTGTGTGCGGCGTCTGTTAAGTGTACAAATAGCATGCGCGTGTGTGTGTAAACAGACGAGTCCTGACAATGCTAACAATGGTCAATAATACGCTCAGAAAGCGCGCACGGTGGGTATTGATCGGCGTACCACACACACGCAACAAACCACGCACCGCCCGCACACACCACAGGTTAGGCCTGTCTTGTGTCCACGTGCGTACACAGACATACACACGTACACACACGGCGCGCACTCATACACACACACAAGAACAGGATCGCAGGAATAAAAGGGAATTAATGCCACAAGCCGGCGCTCCGCCCTGCCGGCGTGGTAGCCGTCTCGATGGGCTGCCCGCTCTGCCGGCCCGTGCTGTAGCGATCCGGTGGCGCCACCTGCCCGGGGGGTGACGTGTGCGTCCCTCCAGGTCGGCGCCCACCTGCGGCGCCCCGTGTGCTAGGAGCCACCGTCTCGGGTGCGCCACTACCGGCGTGTCGGCTGTAGGCGTTCTCGGTGGGCAACCTGCCGGCGTGTGAGCGTCTCGTGCGCCGCCACCTGCCTGCGCGTGTGTAGCGTCTCCTAGGCTGGCGCCACCTGCCGGCGTGTGTAGCGTCTCGGTGGCGCCACCTGCCGGCGTGCGTGCGTACCTGCATGACGATGATGCTGCGCGGGATGAGCTCGCCGCAGATTTGCCGACGTCCAAAGTGCCCACTAGATGCGAATTCTCCATCAGGTCGTCGAACGTAAACTCCAGGATGAGTCGTCCCTCAGTGCACACCTGCGGAGGAAAGCCAAGAGGAAGATGACGAAGAGACGATGAAGAATTAAATGCGGTTGCGGAGAAACAAAAGAGAAAAGACTCTCTCCCGCTACAGACGGCGTATGTGCACTTGTTTATCTATCTATCTAACCAGTTCATCCATTCATTTATCTACCATCCCAATCCATCCATCCATCCATCCATCCATCCATCCATCCATCATCCATCATCCATCCATCCATCCATCCAGCGATCCATCCATCCCATCCATCCATCCATCCATCCATCCTCATCCATCCATCCATCCGATCCAATCCATCCATCCATCCCATCCATCCATCCATCCATCCATCCATCCACTCCATATCCATCCACATCCAATCCCACTCCATCCATCCGCATCCATCCATCATCCATCACATCCATCCATCCCATCATCATCCATCACTCCACTCCATCCATCCACATCCATCCATCCATCATCCCATCATCCATCCATCCATCCATCCATCCATCCAATCCATCCAGTCCATCTCTCATCCATCCATCCATCCCTCCATCATCCATCCATCCATCCATCCATCCATCCATCCATCCATCCATCATCCATTCCATCCCAATCCATCCATCATCCATTCCCATTCAATTCCATCCATTTATCTACTCCATCCATCCTCCATCCATCCCCTCCATCCATCCCATCCATCCATCATTTATCCATCCAGTTCCTCCATCCTTATCCATCCACTCCATCCATCCATCCAATCCATCCATCCATCCATTCATTTATCCATCCATCCATCCATCCATCCATCCATCATTTATCCATCCATCCATCCCATCCATCATCCATCCATCCATCCATCCACTCCATTCATTCATTCATTCATTCATTCATCTCATTCATCTCATTCATTCATTCATTCATTCATTCACTTCAATTACATCCATCTCCTCACCTCATCCATCCATCATCCACCTAGATACACCCACACCACCCACCTCCCTCTCTCCCCCCTTCACCACCCACCTCCCTCTCTCCCCCCTTCACCACCCACCTCCCTCTCTCCCCCCTTCACCACCCACCTCCCTCTCTCCCCCCTTCACCACCCACTTCCCTCTCTCCCCCCTTCACCACCCACCTCCCTATCTCCCCCCTTCACCGACCACCTTCCCCACTCGTGGCCACACACAACCGCCACTCAGGTAATGAACGAGAGGAAGACGACGAGAGCCGCAGAGAGAAACGCGAGCGGAGGAGGAGGACGCCGAGAGAGAAATCAATGGAGGACAGCGACCCGACAATCCTCGAGGATTCAATCTACAATAGCGGCGTCGGCCGACCGCCACGTGCTACACGCCGAGATTAGACGCGCACACGCGGCAACACATTGACAACATTTAAGCAACACTTGACAACACATTGACAACAAATAAGCAACACTTGACAACACATTGACAACATCTAAGCAACACATTGACAACATTTCAGCAACACTTGGCTACATTTCGGCTGCATTCCGGTGCACAAGAGTGATTAGTGAGAATGGTACAGTCACCTCTACTGGCCAACAGTACCACAGTAACCACTGAGCAGCGGCTACCTCACCCCGGGAGTACAAAAGCCAGTAAAGCAGTGCGACGGTGGCTGCCTGAAGCGGACTCTCCCCTTCTCTCTCTCTCTCTCTC